TCTCGTCATGCCTTCGCGCATGCCTGAGAGGAAGACGTGAACTTAAGACGCCATGTCGACCGGCTTCGTGACGATGCACGAAGCCAGATGGCATGTTCGTTGAACGTAGTCGCGCATGGAAGCTTGCCTTGTTTAAGGCCTAAGAATTCGGTGCGTAGACGCGACTCGTATTGTGGTGGCTCAAATGCCAGTCGTAGGTCACTCTGGAGCGCGTCCAGAGTGAGGGAGGCATACTGGTCGGCTACCAGCTTTCCCAAAGCCTACTCTTTTGCCTTACCAGTCAGGCGTGAAAGGAGGAAGTTTACCTTCGATGACATTGCCTCGATAAGTCTTGAGGCGATAGCGATATCGATCTCTCTAAACCAACAATTGAGTGGGAGACGATTTGGGCCCGCACCCGAGTGAGGGACGTCTTCATTTTGACTGCTTCAATTCTTGGAAAACGCGAGGGAGTTTGTACTCGCCGATTCGTTTCGGCGAGCTCGCGACCATGAACTCTTGGGCGGCATCACGTTGTTGGCTCGGTGACGCTGCGTTTAGCAGCGTCGTAACAATAACTTGGCCAGACACCTCTGCGTGGCGGTGAAGGGCTTCCCACTCCACTAGCTTGAGGTGGGGAAACGAAGCGTGTTCCAATGTATTCATGACAGATTCAAGGGGCATGTCGTCATCCATCGCGTTGGAAGGACTACTACGTGCTACCAGGTGTAACGGGGCGAGAGCTCCGTTACCACTAAAGGTCTTACGAGGAAGCGTAAGAAGTATGCAATTTACTTGCGTGCATAAGACCAAATTGAACTCTGTTCATTATTATTAAGGTTAGATACAAAATACTAAACCTTCTGTGAACCACCCAAATATGTGTCAAACAGCAATTGAGTGAAATGGGGCCAAACCCTACTTTCAACCAATCAAATAATGGCACTAGAGATACGCTATTCGTATCTTTTCCTTTTCCTACTTTATGTAAATTTGTTAATATTGTCTACCTAATTATGCATACTAATGGGAACGTTATTATTGCCATATCGTACTTGATATGGCGTGTAACGGTACGACCCCGTTACATAGCTACCCTTCATTAATAACCCTACCATATGCAGTTTGATGACCAGCACTGCAACGTGATTTAGTCAAGGTACACCTGGTACACATTCAGCGTGCCCATCACCGTGTGTCATCCCTGGTCCCATATGACGTCCGTATGTCTTCTTCTCACCTATCATCTCCAATCGTACTTCGATCTAACGATCTTCTTTTCCCAGTCCCATATGCGAAAATGTCGCGTCTTAGTCCCCCCTGTCAACTTGTTAGCCAATCTGGTGATGGTGCCCTTTACCTGTCGTGGGGTCTTGCAATTTTCACTCCTGGGCTTCCATGACCTGTCAGAAACAATAACTTTTAACACGGACAGCTCTATTGGGACCAATAAAAAGATGCCGTTACATGCAAGAAATTGGGCTCCGCGGACGGCCGTTTTAGCCCAGCAATGGAGACGTGGGATAAGCACCCGGAGCTGAAACTAAATATGTCCTATAAGGGCGGGTTTGAGGGCTTCTTTCAAGATATCCGCGTTGCAAAAAAATGTCCAAGCGCTGTTGCCAGATTTTAGCATAAAGACGGTACTTGAACCGCTTATATGTCTCCGTGATGTCCTCCGAATACCGGGCCAACAGCATTGCTGTGACCCGCGGCAGATTGCATGGTACTTTATGGTTCCCACGATGAAGGATCAAATTAAGTAAGGGATAGATTTCTGTGAGGCTCCCGTGACTGAAGAAAGAGGCCCAGATTACTTGGGCGCGGGGACATTCCTAAAAAGAGTTAATTCTGAGTTTCCTTCCTTTTGGCCCTCACATTCCCAGTATGGCAGGTGCCTCGCGTGTCCAATATTAGTACATAAATTAAGCTGGCCGGTAGCGTGTCCATATCTGATATTTGGTTACCGCGTACAGTGGTTCCAAAGCTGATACGGGGAGACGTCGATACCTGCGTGTAAACAATGTAAGAAGTCGATTTATTGGCCGCTGCAGCGGTGCGGCAAGACGACGCTTAGTTAGCGCGAAAGCTTGTTGTCTAAGAAACTGGAAGTTTTGGTGTCTGGAAGCGGTGGGATAAGCACACGACGGATGCCGGTAGAGCTGGGAATTGAAAAATTAGACAAATTTATATCGAGTGCGCTCTGCAGATTAGAAGATTTCTGGTGTGGTCTGTCGGACCAGCAGCGTAGGCCCGCCAGTACCCAAGTTCTTCTATTCTGGCATTCAATAAGCACCCATAACTGAGGGTATCGAGGGCAGTAACGAAAGGTGTTCGATGTTTTCAGGTATTATTGCCGTGCATCGCATGCCACGGACAAGAATGAACCTACCCCACCCGACGTGTACCGATGCGATGGCTTCAGATTGTAGGAGCAGAGACCGCACCCTCAATGGATCCAAATGCCTTCAGGGTTTCCCGACTCGAAGGACGTCGATGCGAGATAGACGATGATCGTCCATTCTCGAAGTTTGGAATGCGAATGGCGGACGATCTTTGTCTTAGACAAAAGTTATAATTTTTTAATTTTCTTAGCAGTTGCTACAAGTAAAGTATAGGCAATCTAACACAAAATACCTATTGTCTGGCTGTTGAATAATCAATAAGGGTAGCGTCGTTTGCTGATCGTTCAGCACAAACGCAATCTTGACTCAGACTTGAAGCCCAAAATTTTTGCATTTCCTTAGTTCTCACGGCACATAATGCACGCTAATCACAGGAAAGCATTTTCACCAAATTTGCTTAGGTTGCACCCGTTTTGGTCAACTTACAAGCAATCACGATGTCCATAACCCTCCAGGTAGATTTTTTTGTGCTTACTGAGCGTTTCATTTTATACAAAAAATCCGGTCAGGTTATTATTATCAAACACGATACTTTATCTGGTCAGTAGACGTTTAGGACTTTTCAAAACATAAGGGTCAATGTTCATTTCTCGCTGTCCTACTGCCGCAAGGAAACTTTTGCGTCAGACTGTGCCGCTAAAATCTGTAATTGTTGCAAGTATTCGGTTAAGATTTGTTGAAGCAATAGTATAATCTTCTAAACAATCCAGTTTATAGCACTGCGAAGCCGAATAAGCAGTTTTGCTTCACTAATGAAATGAATGATGTACTGATGTTAATAGGCATTATAGTGACACATGGCGCACCAGCTTTCAACACGTTGCGCCGATAGCTTAATAAATTATTTGTAGTAAAATTACATTGAACATATTCTATACGCTTGAGCTAACAGAGCCTTCGAGGTAAGGAAGGACCAATGCACTTCAGTTTTGCCTTCAACTAAATTATCAGTGTTAGCCCGATTCGCCGGAAGAAGCATAAAAAGGAGCGTAAAATAAACCTGCGAGTCTATCGCCTTAACCGCTCGGCCAAGCTGTCTTCGAGTAATTAAATCTGCGGGCGGATCAATTTTGTATTTTTTTGCAAAACATTTGCCACCGTTAGATTCTCACTTCTTTCAAACACATAAGCAAACAGCGTTTTAAGTTTTATTAAGTATAACTGTTGCTCGAAACTATAAGGTCCGATATGTCGTCACACGTTTACTGTAATGCTTAGTGTAAGATGATTGCAACTCTCAGTCGTAATTCTTGGCCTCATCGGTCATTTAGAGACCTATTTACTACAATACAACATACTAGACAGCGTAGTCTTTCGTTATGGTACCAAGTTGCTTCTTGAGCGCCCCGCCTTTTGAGGAGCAGTACGAAACCCATGTATCACAAGAATGATAGGACCGAAGTGATGCAACACGTAGACAAAGATACGCGCTGTAGAGCAGCTCATCGCGTTCTTCAGCGAGCGACAATGTAGCAGGATTTGGTCTCACGTTCAGGAAGTAAGTGGGGTATTTGTGTGACGACATGTCTTGTCACGCTCTGTTTTGGACAGCTGGGGGGCAACTATTATTCCAATTGGGTTTGCCTTGCACGCAAATAAAATTGCATGTGCGTGAGCAACATTTAATATAAAGCGGTAGTTTGCGCTCGTCAATAAATAAAGCCTGGCAGTTTTAGTAGAAAATGGTCTAGGTAACACAAAATGAAAGAAATATACCGCTAGCGCAGAGCGGCTGTCGCTGCATTCCTCGTATTTTGCGTACTTATTTTATATGATGAAAGTCGAGGCTAAAAAAGACACGCCTCAAGTGTTTCCTCAATCATTCTGTGTCAATCGTAATAGAGTTATGCTTGGTACATATATCGTCGTAAGTAGCGCTACGCTACCTGTTTTGCCGTTATGTGTAATACTTGTTGGAGTACGTTGTCGCTTTATTAAGCCACAGGCGTCCAGAGACTATACCACGTTGTTTTGCGGCAAAGCTAATACCCGCTCGCCACAGTAGAATACGGTGAGACCCAGAGTTAATTTGGCTCATAAGGCAAATTATCCAGCCTTGTTTTGTGCAGTGCATATTTGCCTAATTGTTGTATGGGTGTCGCCAGCTTCTTGTCGTACAACATATGTTGCCGCGTTGCTTAAAGTGTAAAGCTCGTTTGGAGCCACTCATCAGTCTACAGTATCAGCTCCTTTGTTCGTCATCACAATAGGTTCATTCTGTTATTATATTGGAGTCGGTCTCCCCGGTACTTTAGCTGCTCGTGCGAGAGTAAGTGTTTTAGATCAAAAGCAGGCTCTTAGGCGAGCCTAACGTGATAAGAACTATAGGTCAAGCAAGTGAAGCTAACAAAATTCTTACACACGACAACGTTTTGACGTGGATTGTTAAGTTTTTAGGAGCGCAAAATAGCCTTAGCAAGGTCATCTCTGTCGTCGACCTATACTCTGGAGCTTCACTTTTTTTCGCGCTGTCTCATCCATCTGGCTTGCGGCTGGCTGCTCCACCACAGAGACAATTACAGCTGTTAGCGTAAATCACCGATTTGGGCTGTGCTTTGAAACCTCAAGCGTGTGCATTGCAGCACGTTCATCGCAGTTGTCATCGCAAACTTTACGATGAGAAAACGGACCCCCACACCTCTTCATGTTTTCGGAAAAGACGCTCAAATAGAGCGTCAAAATCGCGGCGACGCCAACACCACAGACCACGATTCATACCAACATGGCGAAACCATGTCAACGCAAGGCATGAAGCTTGACGCTGATGCAGAACAAAAGGTAGCGGTATCAGTTGGTCTAGTGACCGAGGAAAACTGGAGTGAACTCAGGAACCTCCGCGTGGCAGGCGAAAGCGAGGCATCAGCTCGTACTTGGCCGTGCTCGAGATCGAGCTTTAGTGCCGACATGAATAGGCAGGAGATTAGACGAACAAGCCGCTATGCACATATGACAACTTTACAGGAAGACAGCAGATTCAGCAAGTCGTCACTTAATTTCATTCTAGATGACCAAGCCGCGTCAGCAGCATTCGGTGAGATAAAGAATGTGATCTTTCTGGCGCAAACCTCACTTACTAAATGGCTTTAACGTCGAGTTTATTGTAGAAGAAGAGAAATTTACTTTTAAAAGAAAACAACCCAGGTGCAGCACCACAGGTCATCTAAGTAAAGGGGCACGAGACGATTTCACATTGGGTGTTAAAGGTGATTTGGCTACATCAAAACAAAGCAACCGAACTAGTCGCTTAACTAGCAAGCTCCCAATCCAAGACGGGAAACGCAGAGCACGCAGGCCGCCTAGCCGTATATGCAAATACGATGGCTGCGAGCAGTACGTGGTTGATCAAGGGCTTTGTGTTCGACATGGAGTGCGTTAATTTGTCGATATTCGTTTCTAGAAGACGCCCCGATACAACTATTGAGGAGTTTGAAAAGTAACTGGTTTTCATGTATAATGCAACTGAACAGGGTGGTAAGCGATGTCAAACCTTAGGATGCACCAGTCGAGCGAAATATCAAGGGCGTTGCTGGAAGCACGGTAGGTCCCAGATTTTATATTTGCGCACTTTTATCTGATGACAGTTGACCATCACAGGCGGATCAGTGAAGTGCAAGGTTGCGGGGTGCATCAATCGTGCCAAGTCGCGCGGGTTCTGCTGGTCGCACGGTGGTGGTACAAAGTGCAAGGCCGAGAGCTGCGAAAAAATTGCCATTTCCAACTCCCTTTGCTGGGCTCACGGAGGAGGTACGTCCATGTTTGTCAGCGAATGCGGTTTGACGACTATATGATTGGGCGGACTAACCGTCATGTGGATTGAAGGAAAGAGGTGCGAGGTGGAGCGATGTATGCGCCAGGCCTATGAACGCACCGGAAACTTATGCAACAACCATTACCAGGAGCGGCAGAGAGGCGGGAGTGGAGGTGCAGATGACGAGGAAAAGCCATTAGCTCTATCAACGCTTTAATGACTTTCTGTAGCCGTCAAACTCTAGTGACGTAAAAGTTAGGATGCCAGCTGGCAGAGTCCTGTGAAGAGCGGCAATGCAATCAAGTAAAGCGTAATTGAGTGTAATGTCGTCATTGCTTGATAAGCAAGAGAAACAAATCGCAGTTTTGACCTTAAAGCTGAAGGGTCAGCGACATAAGAGGTATGTGTAACTCAAAGCTACTGTCATTGCAAGCTGCTCAAGCGAAATGTTTACGTCGAGAAGAAATCGACGAAAGCTGCATTGAAGTAGGCTTTGAGTTTGGTGATAATGATCGTACGTTAGCTGAGACCATTGATATTTTGTGTGGCCTATAACGGCCAAACGCAGCACAGAATTATGGATCTGCTCCTTTGGGTGTTGTACTAAACTTGACGACTTTTTCTTTTGACAAATAAAAGTTCATTCTGGTGCACTCGCCAGTGACGATGCAACGAAGAAGCGGTGGTATCTGTCGTTATCATTACGCATGTGCGAATGGCATTGTAGCCCTATCAACTGCATCTCGTAAGCTGAAAATAACCAAGTCGAGTTTAAATGTAATTAATTGGTCAGGGCGCACTTGTATAACCTGTTAATAATTTATAGATGCAATTTAAGTGACAGCGTTCTAGTTTTCAATCCCGTCGACGATATGAAACAGTATTTTGCAAGGCTTTTATCTTTTAGGCAAAATGCTGCAATGAGTAAAACTTTTTCGTTCGTAATTTTATTCTTCATGCAACACAATGGTAAAGTATAATACAGTCGTTGTTCATGTTGTGCATTCCTCCTCTGGACTTAAAACTCTATGTAAGGGCGTCCATCGTATAGTCTAAGGGAGTGCTGTTGTGAGAGTCGCTGTCGTGTCAGCATCGAAGACGTCAACGGCAAAATATGTGTTGTAGACATTTTCGTTACTAGCTGATAAAGCCATGTTGATCGGTAGGCAAACAACACCTTTTTGCAAGCCCAATTCGTATCATGCAGTCTTAGTACACCTGTTGCGCGACTTTGCTGTCTGTGCAAGCAAAACGATAGCGAGTAAACAAACATACAGCGGAAGAGTAGACCGCAGACGTAGAAATTGACGCATTTTGTCTGTCTGATAGTGTCGTTGCTCGTGATTATATATTGCCTAGCCAAAACGTATAACATTCACGCATATAACAATAGATAAGTTAGTGCTGTAAAGGTTTTTGCCGCTATCAAGCAGTGTCCAGATGTCAAGTTTTTTGCCGTTCAAATTTGTTATCGACAGACAGCATCGTCAGACAGCATCGTCAGACAGTCACCATTACGTAAAGGTACTATATTAGCAACGTGGATCAATTTGGCTTCACATGCGCAGCCGCGCCGTGACCAGCGGAACGAATGTACAAGATGTTTTGATGTATTGATTCGTAAAGTGCAACGATTTTGATTTTAATACGTTTCTAATGTCTTTTAAGTAAAAGTTGTTTTTGAGGCAGGCGTTTTGACAAATGAAAGTGTTTTTTTTCAATTAATACAATATGTCTCAATTTTTAATCTAGAGCTAGAACGAGGTTTCTCAGTAGTCTTCGGTAAGCACAAAAATGTTTCGTAAGAAAAGCACGTTTTAAATTACTTTTTGTAGCTTGCAAGAATTCTCTATTTTAACAATTAATTTATTAATGAATTATACTGACAAATTTTTTATCCGAACAAGTCATCCGCTGTTTACCATGTATATAATAATAATACGCACATCAACCAAATACAGAATAAAAGTCTCACGTAAAAATCATTCTATCCCTTTCAGTCGCAAATTTAATTACAGCTGCGACGCACAGAGCATTTTGAAGCAAGCTTGATGGAAGGAATATCTAAAGCAAAAAATGTTTGTTTAATGGAATGTCTGATCCGCCACTTAACGGAGAGCCCGATTTCATGCTGGACGTGTCAGTCTGTGGAGGGTCTGATTCCGACAAAGCCACAATTGGCGAGTACTCCCTGCTGCCAGAGCCTGACAGCGGAATAAAGTTCATGTATACTTGCCATATCGTCTTCTTATGACGACGTTGAAACGCTAACCAGTAAGAGTAAAACATGCAACCGCCAGGCTTGCAGGAGAAGTAATCGATAGGCTTGAAGACTGATTTTGTTTCCTGCGTGCCATCACCGTAGGCACTTGGGCAGTCATCGTCCTGCAAAACTATCTTATCGTCCAAAAAAATCGCAGAAAGACCGGAATGAACCATTCAACGGGAGAACGATGCATCGCCAGTTAAAAGAGGAGTCTTCGGTTTTGCCTTGGGATCAGTTTTACCACAGGGTTTACCGTAGAGTTTGGGATCACTGTCGATCAGCGTACGAATATCCTTAATGTTATTGGACTTCTTCAACTTCTTGTAAAGATCCACCAGACCCTCGTCACCCTTAGCTTTGTCCCAGTCGCCCTTCAATTGTGGCGGTATTTCTACGACCCACTCAGATTTATGCTTTGTGCCTTTCAAAAATTCTGCTTTGGGGTTCTCCATGTAGCCGTGAGCTTGCACGTAACCAACAGACGAAATAGCATTAGTGAAGGCGGCGAGTGTTGACGTTGCGAACACCATGATAGTCGACAAGTTGTAAGACGTGTTCGTATCGCCCGCAGCAAATTTGAAAATGATATAAACGTTGCTCAAAATGATGAACGGCTAGCCTCAGGAGAGAAAACTGACCGCAGATTGTCGAGAGTTTGCTAGTATTCTCAAAACATCTCGACTAAACGATCACATCTGGTAAGTACGAGTCCCTCCTCAACTAAATAGGCTATACTGAAAAAGATTACCATTTGGATGGGGTGGATAGGTCGTCTGAAGCAGGCACATTAACGTCAAACAGATGCAATTGTGCATGTATTCGTAAATGCTCTATATTAAAGTAAAAAACCAGGCGTTGATCATCTGTGAGCGCAAATGACGAGCAAATTTACCAAAGCTTGCCTTTAACGATGTCGAGTGATACACTAATCTTGTTGTGGATGGTTTAGTTCGAGCATTTTTATCCACAGCATTCTCACGTGGTTTTTACAGCAACGCATGATTATGTGGAGCACAATGAAAAAAGTTGTTAACTTGCGGCTTGACTTCCTACTCACGTCGAACTCATTTTATTTTATAACGCCCAGTCGAAGACAAAACTACAGTGTTAATTACTCTCAATACCATCACTGCAGGCCAGAGTCGCTGTCTTGAAGTTGTAGCATCCCAAACACGTGTTATGTAGTGGTCAGATACTTTACACTAGCTATGAGATACATATGAAAGCTACCAGACAGCTATCCATACCGAATGGGTAAAGGAAAACTTTATGATTGCAAGAGTTGTGAGTGAAAAGTGCTAGGGCTTTGGAGTGCTAAAGGGGGAATTGGTAGAATCTTGGCGCTTATTGACAGGCACATGGAGCAGTGAAGATAAAACTTCGATATATATTAATTTTGCAGGATATCGCATGGCAACACTGTAATATTCGGGACTGCCGATAATCTCAACTCTCTACTTCATGTGTTTGTAATGCTAGTTTTTGTTCAACAAACGACAATAGGCAAGAAGTTTCCAGGTTGTCAGCCGCTCGATATACAAGTTTGCGGAGCATAACACGAAAAGTTTCTATTCACGAGGTGGCACACTGAGTTGCAACATTGACAATGTATGATTGTAACTTACTGTATGCCACCTCGTGAAGTTGCGGAATGAAGAAAACGTACGAAAACCAATTGTGCATTTTGCTTCACTTGTACGTGTGCGTGATCTACCAGCAGGTTGTTAATGCCTCGACTACGACGCTGAAAATTTCTCGGAACTCTATCCCGAACGAAGACAGCACAGCGGCTCGCAAGCCGTCTGATTTGGAAAGGCAATCTGACAACAATACGTCAACATATAATCGCATATGCAGTTCGAGAATAGCCACTGCCTTATGTAGCGCGTGACAAATGCGATTGTCGGGAAGAGATGTGTAGACTTGGTGAATTTTCTGTCAAAAAGTCGCATCGTAATGAACATTGTATGGCTGGCGGAAGATGTAAGCGTATGTCAAATCCAGTAATTTGCTACAATCCTTGAGAATCACGATCGCACGATTCTGCTAACCAAGACCTTTAGTACCGTGGACAGGTGTGACTATGATTGAATTCTTGGATGGGAAAATGCCGTCGTGCGAGCTATTAAGTAGCGAGCAGACCCCCACGTAGTATACTTGTCTTCTCTGTAATAACACATGGATTGCTGACTATTCAGTGAAACCGTGGCCGCATGCTTTTTTAACCCACGAAATTAAGATAATAAATGCAAAGCTGTAGAAGATCTTGGGAAAAGTCTTTCCATCTGCGACCGATGAATGATTGGCGTGGTAGAGGAGACGTAAAGCCGGTAACAACTGACGGGCGAGAATGCTTTTTGCAAGTGGACATAATGCGTTTCGTGATAAGATTTCCAAGTGAAAATTAAGAAAATAAACAGCTATGGATAGTCCTGCGATGTCTCGTTTTGTCTTAACATTTCTGTGGCTATATTCATCATAATGAAAGGCTCCGCATGTATTATTTCTAACGTTAGCTAATGCTAAAAATATGTCGTAAGCTTACAATAAGCGGCAACCTCAGTCTCCCGTCATCTGGGTCGTTCTCCTTGACTAAGCTCAGTTTTGAATTTGCCGCAGCAAATTTATCTGCACCCTATACGTCACTGCAAAATGGTGTCTACGACGTCCATCTTGACCCTAGTTACGTTGGCTGCCACGGCCATTGACTACGTGCAGGCACACGGCTATATTTACAAGCCTAAGCCTTATTGGAAAACAAAGGAGAACAGCGAGTGGGTTGTTGAGATACCGCCCCCGTGGAAAGGAGGGTGGGATGAATCTAAAGGTGACGAAGGTCTTCTGAAAGTGTTCAAGGAGCTGGCGCCCAAGCATGGCTACAAAGACCTTCGAACGCTAATGGACGGTGATCCTCTTTACGGCGATGCTTGTGGCTATACGGACCCAAAGGGAAAGCCCGTGGACCCTCCGACAGACGGTACAGCCACTTTTTCTCGTTGTTTTCAGCACGCCGGCCCTTGCGCGATTTTTATGGACAACAAGTTGGCGTTTGAGAGCCACGATTGTCAAGGAGATTTCGGTCGTGGTTCCAAGACAACAAAGTCCATCATGAAACCTGTAAAGTATGAGTTGTGCGCTCCGGGCGGCTGCATGATGCGATTTTATTGGTTGGGGCTTCAGCGTCTTCAAGGAAAAACTTTGTGGCAGGCATACAAAAATTGCATTCCTCTGACGGGTCCTCCTGGCGGAGGTAGCTCGGGGCAATCGTCTAATGGGACAGACTCTTCTATGGTAGACGCTTCTCAAACAGACGTCACTCAAACAGACGTCACTCAGACGGATGTTTCTGATGACTCCAGCTCGAAATCCGACGACCACAAGTCAAAGGAATCTCAGAAAACATCCTCTGACGACAAGTCAAAGGAATCGCAGAAGACACCATCTGCTTCCGCAACGCCTCTTGCTCCCGAGACGCCTTCTAGTGAATACTCTCCGCCGGGAAGCTCGAGTGATCCTTATTCGCCCGCCGATACACCCGCGATGGCACCTGCCCCAAGCAGCAAGTGCAAAGGTCACCGCCGCCGTCACTAGACTCCCAATGGAAGGAAAACGTGAGTTAGGTGGAAAGTTTCTGCGTAGGTGTTCATTTACTCGTTTGGTTGAAGAGATTGCAATACGATTTGTGTGCCATGCTCAAGCTGGAAGAGATTCAAGGTATTGTTACGGATTAGAAGTAGCTATGAGAATGGCAAAAAATTGAGTGTCACCATAAATTCATAACTGTTACGTTTCGGGCAACTTGTGTTTTGCTGTTTCATTGGAAAAATCAACGCGATATTGCATCGCAGTCCACAGCAAGATATTGCTGTGGACTGCCCTATACGATATAAACTGTTTAAGCTTAGCTTCTATGTCAAAGTAAACTTAATAGTTTATCAGCCTAACGATGGTGATTCTAAAAAATGGTAAGTCAAATTTTGAGTGGCCGTCTGTTGGCGCTGCAACGTTTACGCGGGCATACTGTCCTTCGATTAATGGCGCACTAAGCTCACCTTAGGAGTGATAAAATTGTCTGCGCACGATATGCTAATTTTCCGCTTAAACTTGGCAGCTTTCAACCCGACTACAGTGTATCCGGGACGCAAACCTTATCAATTGCAATTAAACGGCTTCAATTCTTTAGATTACTTATTCTAATGCAAACCTCAACAGGTGAATGTTCCCAAATGATTATCCATGCAGCGTGTTCAATGCTGCAGCCCACCACTCTTCTTTATGCTCTCATGATCTGAACTACCTCTCATAGGCTGCGGTTTGCTCGCTCATACTGTTTGCGTCCACCATCATTTCGTGTTTGATCCCGCTGCGGTCTAGGTAGGCCTTGAACTGATGACCCATTCCCTCACCGCTACTACGCTTGATAGCTTGCCTCGTTTCAATTTACGTTGCTACCTTGTAAGCTTGAGCAAGAATAGATTATTTAACTTGGTTTTATGTTCGTATACCGTGACGATCATATACGTTATCACCTAAGAAGCCAAGCGTGGATGAAACTCAGGAGTTAGATAAAGAGGTGTTCAAATTATAGACATTATAAGCAGTATGGCAATGTTTCCCTTTTGCTCATATTTAAACCCGCCCAAATTAGGCCGACAGCCTCGACACGATCGTGTAAGAAAACTATATCTGGAAAAAGTATCATGAAATAAACCTTCCTCGTAACGGTCTTCCGCCTTGTACTCGATTCATCGACAAAGGAAGGGAAGTCAACGATCTTTAAGTATCTACATACTCGCTGGCAGACGCTCGTCTAACGTACCAAGTATAATGTGAAAGTCATTCTTCAAAACGCCAGCCGATGCACTTTCAAAAGTGGAACCAATTCGACGTTGACTACGATAACCTAACTGCTACAGTGTCGCTTAGATGTAAACTATCATTCAATTTACTTAAGAGGTGATAGAATTCCATATTGCTGAGGCCTGCGTATTTTAGACCTGTCACGTCGTTCAAATATTCGGCAAAACTTACTAAGCTTTTCGAGTTAGTCGGCTTGCAAGTGCCCCCGTTTCCGTTATCAAGCTCTTCCCCCGGCGCGTTTTGCCGGGGCCCAAGCTCTAGCAGTTGGTAACGATGTCAGTTCTTTTGCCATCATTCTTGCTTTACTTTCTATTACAATAAGGTAGTATACGATTAACTAGATATAGGCCGGTGAGGGCGCGAGCAAGCCGTCCACGAACAAACGTCATGTTTTGCGTCACCGCAACACCGTCGATAGACAAGTCAAGTGACTTATCGAACCAAGTGCAAGCTCAAACTTGACCATTGTCCCGGGCAAATTTGTCTCTATGACTTCGTCTTGGCACCGTCCGCAATCAGGATTGCGAGAGGCACCAATATCGGCGCAGTTGAAAGGGCACTGTTGTATGAAGCTAATGAACCGAATGTCTATTAATGGTGTCGGTTACTGCAACTCCTCCAACTTAAAAACTAACGCAAGGACAAGACTACTTTTATCAGTGTTGATTGGCCTCTTTAAGACCGATTAACGCTGATTAAAGGAAGGTGTTTAAAGTTCGATCCTCGCTGTTGCGGGGATATATACAGCGAGGTGGTGATAGAAACTTTAGATTACGTGAGTCAATCCATCGGGTGTTTTATCTAACCAACCTGGCGTACATAACTACTAGTTAGTATTCATGCCATAGATTAATCTTATATGATGTACCATCACCACATGGTGATCTTTCATGTAATTAGTATACACAAGCCTACACCTCTAATGACTAAGGTGACCTATGTCATACCATATGTGTTGGCGAAAGTGAGTCACACTTGGAGCACTTGTACACTTGGCCAAATATCAGCACAAAGCTTAAACACTTATCCTTGAGTAGATTACGCTTTGAAGCAATTTAGCTAATTACAATGTCATTCGCTTTTAAGCTTGATGTGGTGTGAGCTACATTTGATGGGAACTGAGCTAATACGCAGTGTGTGACTTTTTTAAAAAGCCTCGGATTATACGATTAAAAAAATTGTTACAGTCAATAAAAAAATTATGATAATGTATCTACAGCTCACGTCTGTCACTAGGTTCTTGTAGTGTGATTGCAGTACACTTTAATTCGGTCTTTATCACGTCATTCTTGTCGTCATATATTTTCATAGCGTCATCTACTGAATTGCCCTGGGTTGCACGAATGAAACAGCCACATTTTTGCCAGCGTTGCAGTGATACTGTATAAAATAAGAGACCGTCGGCTTTATCATCTATTCCTCTTGGATGAACAAACAGTGGCCTGTCGCCAAACGCTGCATGCTAAAGCTCAGCTGCTATACGTTGGGCAGAAGGCACCTGTGCAATCATGTCGCTTACTTGTTTGCCAGGTATGCTGCAACCAGAGCGATGTAGGATCGTTCATCGGTCTATTCCATTCTGTAAAATAGCACTAAGGTTGAATAATTGCCATACGATACCATGGTCTCAATCGCAAGTAACATTAGCTGTATGGGTGTGAACCCATATGAGCAACTCAATCTCATCTTCAATTTATTTTTTTTTCACATCTACGCCGTACCTTCATCACTTGTTGATACAAAAATGTCACCGTGCCAACCAGCAGTTACGGTCAAAAATAAGTGTTTGACGCATCTGCACATGGCGCACTAGTGGGTGATCGATCACTTTGCGTCAGGACTAGCAACTCGTGTTCCTTCATCTTCTTTTATTCACATCAGCACTGTTCGAGGCATTCGAAGTATTTTTTGTCAAAGCGATAATGCTCTCATTCCTTGCAATTGCTGTCGTATTCGCTGCAACATGAGCAAACAGAGCGGTAGCAGGGCCTGAAGACGTGGCCGAACTTGCAGCTGCATTTCCAGCAGAAGCTGCGGTGCTACTTGACTGTGACATCGACGCGGCCGGTTTCAATGCTGACGACGCAATTGAGGCCGCAGTTGGTTTCGCTTTTGTATTAACAGCCTCCATTGCTCTCTGCTCGATATTTGCGCGCACGATTTTTCGGTCAAACCGCTCAACCTCGTGTGCAGCTAATGTTTGACACTGGTGACGCACTTCGGCAGATGCGTCTTTATATCGATTTTGAACGTCTGTAGCAGACAACTCAAATGTTGCAACCGGCATCTTTTGCGCTTGCTCTTCCCGAAGACGGAGCTCAAAGAAATCGAGCGCCGACGGAGCACGCGCCGCAGCAACAAGTGGGGTCAATGACGGCTTGTATGAGCAAGGAGGCTTTGACACTACTGGTGTGAACAACTTCAGTTGTTTAGATTCGGCACTGTTGGCTGGAGGTTCTTGATAACGCTTCAGATTTGCTGTTCCTGCAGCTTTTAATACTGGCTTAACAGTTGATTTCTCGAATCGCGCTTGAGCTGGTGACGGTGATGGCTTTCGCCGAAGAAACCTCGACGCCACGAAGGTCAGCGGTAACGCGTCTTTCGGGCCGAACGAACAACACCAGGCATCTGGCGCCCCCGTCGGCAGTGAATAGGTCGGATACAATTTGATGGACGACTCCTTTGTGTTCACCGTGTTTTCCTGCGCGTTCTCCTTTGATTCATTGACCTGGTTCTGTCGCAACACCTCAATGCTATTTGGTGCGGTTTCTTCTTTGGTTATAGCATCTGTCGTCCTTATACTTACAGCGATTTGCCCCTGGTTCTGCACTGCAGTGTTTGTTCGTTCAGCAGCCAGCCGACAGTTTATTTTCTTTGAATTTTGATAAACTATAGCCTCGTCTGAATCTGATCGCAATGTTTCTCTTTCTTCTTTTTCAATGTCAAGCACTGGAATTTGACCGTATGCCAGAAATCTCCACAGCAACTGACATTCCCTGGGTGTCATCTTAAGTTGCTGCATCATCTTCATCTTCTCAGCCACTAATTCCCACCTGATAAATGCTGTAACAACAAAATGATGCAACAATTGGAAATTTAGTGAACACTATTGTTTACCTTTGTACACTCGTCCCGTTCAATAATATTTACTTTCTCACCTGGAGACTTTTCTTCGTCCAAGACTGTCGATGCTAGCGTCTGCTTCTCTAATTGACTCAAAATTACTTCACACAGCATTAAACAATCGTGGCTTGAGTATTTACCCAGTAGCTTATTGTCATTACATGAAACCCCATTTGTTTGAGAGTAAATCGATTGTTGTACCCCATTAAAGGGGGATGTCCCACTTAATAGTGACCCACTTGACATTGTATGTGCAGCTGCTCGAAGTTTTCGATGTTGAATATTAACTTTTGCAGGATTGTTTTCAACCACAGACACGGTATCAAATGATGCAAGCGACGTCACTGTACTCTGTACTAGTGGTGGTGTCATTGGAAATGTCGATGGTAATGATGTTGATGAGAGTACTTCACAACGTTGTTGCGTACATAGAGAGGTATCAGGCGTAAATACAGTAAACGACGAGGACGCAGCCTTGATACTTGGTTGATGTTCACGTCTCGAACGACGTGGTGTGGCTTCTGACATATTTATAAGCAAGAAATACTTGACTGAAAATATACAAAGAAAGTAAAGATAAAAACGTCATGTAAGTTAAATATGTTACCAATTAGTTGGCTAATAACCTGCTAAGTATAATACTATAGTTGTTTGTAGCTAAATGTATTTGTTTCTACGTCTTGTAACTAACCAAAATAAATTACCAGCCTGTCTTAGAATATTTCCATTCAGTGGAGCTCTTTGTAACAATGTCATGCCTCAACTTAATCTACTTATACTTAGCCGAGTATGTGTCTAATAGTCAAAAGCTTGTTTAAACCTTCATGCATGAAGTCAGCATTTCTAAGCTCTAAACATAACGATGAAGCTGCTTGTTACCTCACCTATACGTCAATAATGTGACTAGCGCCACTTTTAATTTAGCTCATTCATTCGTCATGATTTCAACGAGTTTGCGCAACGCCAAAAATGAGCTGCTGAATCACAATGAAGACGTAAATTCAACATGCTTCATTCACGTCATCTGCACTAGCTTCTATCGCATTGCCCTCGTCATGAGGTGGTACCCTTTTTAGCAGCATTCTCACCACTATCCAGAGCTATTTTCTTAATCAGTTCTACATCCTCTAAAGGCTCAGCCACAGCGACCTCTGCAGGGCTCATTACATCACTAACACTCGGCGATAGAGCTTTCACTACTCCCTCCTCACTGGGTGCATTAGTATCCCCATCGTCCACAATGTCACCCTGCTCCTCACTAAAAGGCAATTCCTCTTCACATGTACTTGCCTTTAGAACAGGCAAAATGTTTTCATCCACTACAATCTTTGTGGGCACCTGCACGGCCGCATTAGACTTTTCTGTGCTCACTTGCTCGAATTCGACACCGTCGAAAGCCTCCTTCATCGAAGCGTCCTCAGACGCCGACTTAATGATCTCATTGGCTTTACTACACACATGTAGGCTCATTTCATTTCTTTCAAGCACGTCAATATTCACGGCTGGCTCCTTGGCACTCGAGACTACCACTCCACCATTTGTTGAGCGCAAAATTGCGTTTTCGACCAGATAATGAACAATTTGCAGCATTTTCTGCTGCTCAACAACAACATCCTTCGCCAGTAGCTTGCGCAGAAGGGACTTCTGCTCACCAAGCCATTGCTGTTCCGTAGCACGTTCTTTCGACGCCTTCTGCGAACGTTCACGTTGAATTAACAACACGGTTGTATCATGTGAGAACGAGCAGTGCATACCCTTAGAGCACGATCCCTTGTGCATCATAGCACGACAACCAAACGTCGAACGGTCATGACTATACTTGCAAATCACGTCATTGAACCGACACCGGCCACGTAGGAACCACTTGCACAGCATTGCCTTGCGCTGCTTCTTAACTGGCGGCTCCTGTATACCAGATCTATCATCGTGCAATACCTCAGAGTCGGAAGCCGCAATGTTCGTTGTAGCATTTGTGACCACTATCTGAACCTTGGCTTCTTCGTTCTCCTCGACTTCACCATCTTCCAAATCCTCTTCTGATGGCATCAAAAGCCTTCGCTTTCCCGTCACTTGTACGGTCACCATAGGTGGCTTAGACTGACAGGACATCGCAAGCCACTTTGTGCGACGCTCCTCACGCCACTTTGCGATGTCCTCGGCTGAGTTTCCTACCAAAACCATAAATTTTTGACCTTCCACGTCGACTTCCTTCAGTCCTTGACCTGAGTACTGTCCATGCGATGTTTCGTAATGTGCGGCAACAACGCGCTTACAAGCTGAAAAGTCACAGTCAGAGCACGTCACGTGAGTATTAACGTGCGCATCGTACTGCGATGCGAGCACGAAACTCTTCACGCACGGATCACATTTCCATACCTGTTGACTAGACTGAGGTGGCAGTGGCTGAGCGCATGAACCGATGCTGCTAAGCTGCGGATTGGAAGGAAGCGGGGGAGCTGGGCCATTAGGTAAAGGTGGCTGTCTACGAAGCTCATTTTTCGCTTCAAACCTCGGAGAAAACTCGTTGTGAGGCCCACAAGATCTTCTAGGATCGTGCGAATCTGAGCCAGCGTCGAAGCATAACTGCTGGTCAGGCCCTATTTCAGAATAACAGCGCTGCTGAAATGAATTCTTTTGTTTATCAAAAAGCGGACAATACTGCTTCCAGTGGCCAGATTGATTGCAGTTGTGGCAGATGTATGACGGCGGGGGTGTTCGCTGCTGCTTATTGTTTTGTCGACGCTCCTGGAAGCGTGGATGCTGGTTTCTCTGGGTTTGGCGCTGATCTTTCGGGTGTAGTCCTTGGTGCGCGTGCTCCCTATCAAATTGTTGTTGCTGATGTGAACGTTGTTGCCACTGTTGACTCTGTTGAGGTAAATAGTTCCAGTCACCACGTAAATGTTGTGGTACAAGTGGTAATGGAGGCTGTTGCTGCAGCTGTTGGTACAATAGCGGCGGAGGTTGACTCCGCTCTCGGTAAGACATATGCTGGGTCTTGGACACATTTTCATTTGGTGGTGCAGCTTCTGCGTAGTCTGCTGCTGGTTGTGCAGTTATCGGCATCGGCGGCTTTGGTAGATTGGCAAGGTACGTAGAGCTTTCGTTCTGGTACTTCTGATGTAGAGGAGGAGGCGGAGGCTGCTGATATTGCGGAGGAGGTGGTTGCTGATATTGTTGTAGACACACTGGTTGGGGCTGAAATTCATATTTATCTATCGGTGGATGAAATAGAGACGAATTGCCATTCGTGTCTCCTTTTCTACCATCACTTGTATAGTCTTGTTGCTGAAATTGCGGCTGTTGATACTGATCCTGGGCAATCTCGAATGGTTGATATTGCTTCAGTTTTTTCTGGTGTCGTAATTGATACTGATGCTCCAAATACCTAGAAGATTCCAAAGTAGTACCATGCATCAAGTAACTATTTCCATTGCTATAGTGATGTTGCTGTTGTGGTGGTGGTGAATACCGATGTTGTGAGTTTACGTAACCTTCTGTGTATCCCTGCTCTTCATGGCGCTGTTGTAAGAGATTAAAGTTACCTCTATCTCTACATCTACGTCCACCACCTTGTCCCCGTCCTCGTCCTCTTCCTCGACTTCCTTTTCCTTTTTTCCCTTCATATCCAAAGCCACGTTCACCTCGACCACCACGAAACTGCCCATTGTACTCCATTGTATTTCTGTATAATTTTGATTGACTAATCCGAATAAAATGACTGGGTATCAACTTGACTTGAAAGGTCGCACTTAGCACGTAAATAGAGTCATGTTCTTGTTTGAAATGGTATCCAAAAACCATTTAATATTTCCTTTTCCACAATTTGGGCACCTTTGGCTCTAAAACTGATAAAAGAAACATCATTTTTGCGCTTCTCGTGCTCCATTTGGCAAAAAGCGTGTTTGGTCGCTTGCAGGCTACCTTCAGCCAACACACTGGCGATCGGCTACGACGAGGGCACTATTGTGCTGAGGCTGGGGCACGATACCCCTCTCGTGAGTATGGACGCTAGTGGCAGCGAAAAGCTCATCTGGACGACTAACAATGACGTTTACACCGCCAGTGTCAAGGGGGTGGTGACGGAGATGGGTCTCCAGGACGGCGAAAAACTGCCGCTTGTTTCAAAAGATCTAGGAAGCTGCGAAGTATACCCTCAAAAGGTACAGCACAACAGCAACGGCCGCTACGTAGTGATTTGCGGTGACGGCGAGTACATCATCTTTACGGCAACAGGCACCGGCGACTACGTTATACGTAAGAGCATTTCAAAGCTCACACTGTTTTGTAACTTAAGTAAGATAAAAGCGAGAAGCCTCACGTGCTGTCTGCGAAGGTCTGTGTTGAGTTACTAGTGCCATTGGCGTCAAGAGTAATGACGTGATCGTTATGTTTGACTGGGAGGAGCTGCGGCTGATCTGTAAGATCGACGTAGTGATCAAAAATGTATTTTGGTCTAAAATTGGCAGCCTCGTTGTGCTTGCTTGCGAGTCGAGTTTTCGTGCTGCGGTACAACAAGGAGGTAGTGGCATGCTCTTTTGCTGCTGGCACGAACTCGCCTGATGAAGGTATTGATGGCGCCTTTGATTTGCTCCACGAAATCTCTGAGAAGAATGGCACGGGCCCCTAGGCTGGAGATTGCTTTTTGTACACTAACGCTGGAGACAGACTCAACTACTACGTGGGCGGTGAGGTAATGACGCTTGCCGCATAAAGCAGAAAATATATCTGCTTGGTCGTGTAAACCTAGTGTTTTTGATGGACAAAATGAAAAATAAGGTGAGTTACACGGTTTCGCTAGTAATGCTAGAACAATTAAACTGCAGTAGTGAGTCGTGGCTCTAAGAGTGTAACGACATCTTTCCCAAGATTCCGGTTGTAGCCGAGCTACTGTTCCTACTCTACTTATGCACTATGGGCAGATGCACGATGTGCAGATGCACGATGTGCAGAAGAAGTAGTCAGACTACTGTAGCAAAGCTACGTAAGCACTATGCGTAAAGGAAGACAAGCTCAGAGAGCTTCTACGTCTTAGGGTGTTTAACCCTCCTAGGCTAACTCGTAAGCTTGTGCCTATCGGTTGTTGTAACCGTGTCTTAAATAGACTAGTATCAAAGCCACTTAATTCCTCAGGAGGAATAGTACGCTCAAGCAGTGATGCTGTAGAGCAGGTTTGAAGCTGATTTATATATATGTTTATCTTCTAACACTAAATATAGAAGCACCTACTCTATACTTAGTGCTAGTCACTATTTACTGGCTCTATAGCCTTTCATTATAATGCAAATATGCATTGTTACTATACTTTACATAAATATAGTGACCACGTGGCTCTCTGCCACGATGTGACCCTTCGTACTTCAGGTACGGTCATATCACCTTCTTTTGTACCCAAGGTACAGCCACACCACATTAGTGTGGCAGGTGTGTATGTAAAATACACACCTTCGTGTAACCCCATTACACCCTCCCCCACCAATCCGTGGGACCCGACGTACCCACGAATTTTCGCACTTAATTGGAGGCATCGATTTCATTTTTTTATTTTCTTCTCATTTTGCTTGCCTCGCAATATTTGCTTGTACATGCGTCTAAAGCTTCTGTGTTTTTAACACTTGCTCTTTTAGCACCTGTGCTTTGCACACACGCTTTCTAAGCATCCTAGTATTACGACACTTGCTCCTTGACCATACAGTTCATTGCACTCACGCTAAAGCGTTAAGTGATACGACACCTGCTTATAAGCGATAAGTGCTAAGCACTTGGTAATAATACCCTTTGTGTGATTATGAACACTTGCTTTCACAGCACACGGTACCTAGTACTTGGTTTTAAGCAAAACAGTGTTCCCAACACTTGCTTTTAAGCATTACAGTGTTCACGAGCACTTGCTTTATAAAGCACTTGTCTCAATTGCACTAGCTAAAGCAATCCGTTACGACATTTTTGTGAACGATGACAGTGACGTTGCCTATAAAGGCAACAGAGCCGAGTCACGGGTTATGGTTCCCCAAGATCATTACGCTCACTAAGCGAGGGACGTCGATCCCAATCTGTGTCTTCTGACAACCCCTTTGCGCCAAGCGCCTCCTCTTCCCTCGCGAGAGAGTACTGACGAAGAGGTAACCAACCTTCTCGACGATGCACAGCGTCGTCAACTCGATAACGAGGCCCGAGCGGCCGCTTTGACACGGCCCAAACAAACGTTTCACGACGTGATTATGGGTTCGTGCCCCGAGGTCCTAATGGGGAAGCTGGACGAGCTGCATCGCAATTTTTGCAAACCTATATAATTGGGTCCCATGCCCGTACGGCCTGCGAGAATGCAGATAGTGTTGCTCTCTGTGAGCGGCTCCTTACTTTCCAGAAATTTACGATGAAATCGTATCAGGAGCGACTGTCACGACAGTCACGTGGGGTACCCGTGCACCCACTAAACGGCATACCAGTGGTGCTTGCACTAGGTGAAACATCTGCACAAGATGATCACCAGTTCACCCCGTTGGGTAGAACGATCATGTAAGCTCTCAAGTTTGTCAAACTTGCGTTTAAGCGCTAAAGCGCAAGACCTTTGGTTAGAACTTCGTCGACGTTTTATCTTCGCTAATCTCAAGCGACACGCAAATTATCTTCCACATACAGGTCAAAGACTTGTGGGGACAAGCTTCTGAAGCTGTTGCCCGTACTTCTCACTCGAGTGATGTACCGACATTGGCTTCTTCTGAAAGTCAGAGGCGAAGCCAGCCTACTGACCCTACTGCCACAACACCTAGTGCTAGGAAGCGTCCGACGACAGCTGTCGTCGCTTCTGACCGTCCTGGTCAAAAGCGTCAACGGCGTCAGGGCCATCCTGCCGGAGGGGTACTTCATACTTCCACGAGTCATACAACTGGGGGTATCCCCTCCACTTCACCAAGTATTGGGTATAACACTAATGACGACAACGAGCCAAGAGGCGCTTCACGTGGATTGTTGATGACCCAAGTCATCAATCAGCTTCGGAGGAGGTCGATGACCCATTGACCTCTCATCTTTTTTGAGATTGAGCGTCGGCTGACACTCCCGGAGCGTGATGCCGTTGCATCGGTGAGTTTCCACCTGTCATCGCTCGATTTCCGTGTCGACACCGTCGTTCCTTTGAGAGTTATCGCTCTGAGATCTCTGATCTCTTAGCGGCGATGGAGCGTTCTAAAGCCGAACTTCGATGCCAGATCGACCTCCTGGTACGCCTTCAGCGTTCACATGCACCTCCGGTGCCGTACTATCCGTCTCCTCCGGCCAGGGATATGGGGACAACCCCTCGAAGTCCACCGATGCCGGGTTGAGGTATGGCTTTAGCAAGCCCACGTAGAACACAGGATGTGTTCGCATCTTCTTCGGAAGGTGCAGCGTATAGGCTAAGCCTTTCTTGCCTATGACCTTAAAAGGCCCAATAAAACGTGGTCGTAATTTGGTTTTGCATACCGCAAAAACTGCACGGGATAGGTAGATTTCTCACTTTGAACCCTTCGTCGTTCTTTCTGCCTTTGGCATCCGCGTTTTCCTTCTGAACATCCTGACTTTCAGCCATAGCGTCTTTGACGCGACGTAATACGTCAAAACGCGTTGACAGAAGCGCTTCCACCTTTTTGCGAATCGCCACAGGGCTGATATCAGCCAAGTCTTTGGCTATCTCTCCCTCACTAAGCCCTGATGTGGCAGCGGGTAGCGTTAAGGAATCGCGAGGGTTGACCAAACCATTTACTTAGAATGAGGTGAAGCCTGTCGAGGCATGCACCGCGTTATTCAACGCAAACTCTACCAGAGAGAGCATCGCGCTCCAATGCTTGGGTTTCAGCACAAACACTGCGAAGCATATCAACAATAACTCGGTTGACGCGTTCAGTCTGACCATCAGTCTGCGGATGATCCGCCGTGGACATGTCCAGTCGAGTGCCGAGCACTTTGAGGACGGACGTCCAAAACTTACCCGTAAAACGGGTCTCTATCCGAGACGATTGCCACAGGCAATCCGTGTTGTCTAAACTCACGATCCATAAACAGCTTTGCTGTTCCTTCTCCATCAATGAAGTCCGGCACGGACGCTAGATGAGCCATCTTGCTCAATCGGTCTACAAAGACCACAATCCCAGTGTTGCCTGTCGCATCACGCGGTAGGCCAAACACAAAGTCCATACTAATGGACTGCCACAACCCCGAGGGTACAGGCAAACTCGCCAAAGTCGCAGCCATATTAGGCGAGGGTTTCACCCTTTGACACATTTCACACGTGCATACATATGCACCAGACCATTTGCACAACTTGGGCCACCAATAATGGGTGATCACCGAGCTGTAGGTCTTTTCACGACCTGAATGACCACCAAGTGGAGTATCATGAGCCTCATAAAGTATCTGATACTTGAGGTCCTCATCATGACGCACCACAGCACAAGGCTGGTCATCCGACCCTGTACTATAGTACAACAGACCCTATGTCAGTGCATATCGATGTAATCTTGCACGATTACGTGGTGACAACTTCACCTTAAAGTTTTCAAACTCTGCGCTACCCAGCGCCTGCAAAATGGCAACACGTGTTTCACCGCGTGCATACGCCACACGGATACGATCTGCTACTGACGAACTCACAACAGTGAGATGAGCAAGCTCATAGTCAGGTCTACGCGATAACGCGTCAGCCAAAACATTCTGTTTTCCCGGCTTATACTTCACTTCGAAGTTATACATCGCGAAAAAGGAGAGCCAACGAGCCATTCTCTGCGAGAGATGAGGCGACTGTGTCGCTGTGCGTAACGACGCATGATCGGTATAGATCACAAACGGCTTTGAGCCCAACAGGTGTACCCTGAACTTAACAAGGGCACACGTCATCGCAAGTAGCTCCTTGTCATGATCTGGATAGTTCTTCTCTGCAGCTTTCATCTGGCGAGACTCAAACGCGATGACGCGTTCTTGATCCTCAGAGTCAACTTGCAAGAGAGCACTGCCAATGGCAAAGTCCGAAGCGTCACATACTATGCTAAACGGCGATCAGGATCAGGCAAAGCCAGAATTAGCGCCTAAAAGATACTCTCCTTTATGGCTTCAAAAGCCTCGTGGTGTTCGGTGTTCCAACACCATTCCACATCCTTCTTAAGTAGATTTGATAGTGGCCTAGACACTTCCGCATACTTGTGCATGTAATTTGCCAAACCCAACCACTTGCGTAGGTCCTTCTGGTTCCTCGGAACCGGCCAATCCACTATGGCTTTAACCTTACATGGTCGGCCCGGGTTCCTCGCTTCTCAATGAAGCATCCCACCAAAAAGGGAATCTTTTCCGCACCGAAGATGCATTTGTCAAAATTGGGATACAACTTATGCATCCTCATGCAACCGAGCACAGCTCGCAGGTGTTTGATGTGGTTCTTCACATCAGTCTTGCCATTTTCGGCTCGACTATGAACGAATATATCGTCAAAGTATGTCTGTGCATACGCCCTATGGAGCCGAAACAACTGTGTCACTAGACGATTAAACGTTGCAGGCGCGTTAGATAGCCATTGGGGCATCGCTAACCACTCCCAGAGCATACCGCTCGGAGTGCTGACCGCTGTCAGCGGGATATCACTAGCTCGCATAAGCAGTT